CTCTAGTTCTTTTTCTCTTACATTTTCTGCTTTGCCCCGCCTTCTCTGTTTTTTTGCCTTGTGCTCTTTTTGTGTTTCTCTCTCTTTCCCTTTTCCTTGTCTACATAAGGGGAATTCTGGGGGGAAAAACAGTCTCTGAGGGCAGGTCTACACTACGTGGTTAAGTTGACCTACGTTATGCAACTCCAGCTATGTGACTAACGTAGCTGGAATAGACGTACTTTAGGTCGACTTATTGCAGTGTTTGTACCGTGCTGGGTCGACGGGAACATAAAAACATAAGAACGGCCATACTTGGTCAGACCAAGGTCTATCTAGCCCTGTATCCTGTCATCTGACAGTGGCCAATGCCAGGTTCCCCAGAGGGAAAACTCTCCCGTCGCCCTTATGCTTCTCATTCCAGTGGAGTACCGGAGTCGACGGCCGAGCGATCGGCGGTCAATTTAGCGGGTCTTCACTAGACCCGCTAAAATGACCCCTGATGGATTGTTAGCCGCAGCATTGATCACCGGTAAGTGGAGACAAGCCCCTAGTGTGGTTAAATTGCAGGAGCCCTGTCCTATTTTTACTGCATTAATTATACCTGTCTTCTAGCAGTTTAATATGGTGCTAAAAATGCCAGCAGCCACCAGAGCATCCATCACCATTGCAATCTCTATTTCCTTCTCCCCTCTTTTTCTTTCTCACCAAAGCATCACCAACAAATGGGAAAATGAAAGCATATTGCTCTCCTGGATCTGCCAAGGCTGCACACTAGTGTTTTCCCTATGGCACTGCCAAAAATAACTCAAAAATTCACAATTAATTGGTGAATACCACAAAACATATTGAAATAGTTTGACTTAATTATTTACCTGGGCGTTAGGAGGGGCAGGTTCAGGGCATTTGCACACATAACTATGGGTTTCCTTGATTTATTGCCTTTATGCCATTCTTCACTTTCTTTACATTGTTTGTTCTACAGAGCAAACAAATGAGGCATTCCTCACATTCCTTCTGAAAGAGTAGAAAGCAGTTCTGTCAAATCTCTGGCACTGAGCAAGTGACACCCACAATTTGAACTCTCACTCACTGATTTCAAATAATAACCCTGTGGATTGGTAGTGTGGTCAGTCTAATCTACCTAGGTATTTACATGTGGTATTTGACTGCTTTGAAAAAAATCAGAAAAAAACAAGAGGATTTTTCATTTCTTTTGTGCAGAAGCATGTAATATGGAAACTATTTAGAAAGGGAGATGGAGACTTGTTGATTTGATGGTCCTGGTATGAATCCAACCCAAGTTGGTAGCAATACCAGTCTGTGACTGTTTCTTGGTCTACGTGAAATGAAGACAGCTGTCCATATCAGAAAAACTGACAATAATTGAGACCCCTGTTGGTCTTTCCCAGCAGAGACGCTAAGGAGGTCAAGATGGAACTACCGACTAACACTTTTAAAGCTGATCCCTGCATTATAGGGTAGAAGCACATCAGTGGGACAATTTGGGGAAATCTTGCACTAGGGTTGCCATGCTGTATATGTTTTGTGAATAAATGGAGGATGCCAATTTCCTGGGCTGTCAGTCTGGCACTGAATAGTAAATTTGCATACAAGATGGAAAAAGATCATCCAGATGCTACTTTTTTTTTTACTACAAAATGTAAAAAAAATGGTCTGCATGCTCAAGATAGACTAAGATTAGCTTGTAAACCTGTTTATGGTCTTCTGGAGTGAAATACTGATCCAATTGTGTGAACAGAAATTTTGCAAATTACTTCAGCGGGGCCAAGATTTCACTCTTGATGTAATAGTATTTGTATTACTCATGACTTGTTTGAAAGTCAACCTAACTGCTGTATTTTGTTGTTCTCTAAAAAGTTTCTTGTGTGCTATACTTAATCTAGTCAGTGTTAGATCAGCAATCATTACAATTATTTGATCTACTCAATCTAGCAGCCCTCTCTATATGCAGTTTCTTCAGATGTATTCAGGGCTTGCATTTTTTTTTTTTTAAAATCACTGGATACATGTGAAAACAAATGAAATTTCTGGTTCCAGACTGATATGTCTTGGGGTGTTTGTAACAAAGCAGGAAACATTTCAGGTATTTATTTAATATTTTGTAGGCTAGTTAACTGTTAGCAGTGTACAAAATCCTAAAATGTCAGGGCACATTTAAGAAAAATCATCAGATAATTGCAAACGCTGCAGAAATCAGACAAATGAAACTTGCGAGATTTAGCAGTTGATCTAAGGTGAGAAATAACACATTAGATTTTAAAAAGACTTCCAATATTCTTACTATCAAATAGGAATTATTCAAGATTTTAGAAAGGGGGAAAGAAGAAAGACAATATTGGATTCAACCCCCTCCCAAAAATATATTTTCCATTTTCCAACTTTATAATTATTAACAACATCTTAACAAGTTCTAATGCTAAATAGTTATTTTCCTAATGCTAAATAGTTATACACAGTTATGCAGAGTCCAAAAATGGTATAAGGAAACCCAACAAACAAGATCTTTGAGACTGAGTTATCTCTGTAAAGCTCGTAGCCATCCCACTCTCAAAGGCATGAAGGAATGAAGTTTGTAGTAACAGATGGTGTTGTTTGTATGTTTGCCTCTGCTAACCCTCTTGACCTTAGAATTAGCCTTTTTTCAAATGAGTTGAAAACCTTATTTTAGAAAGCCTTCAGCACAGCAAATTGGTTTGTTTTTATGCTATAATCATTTTAGTTTGTAAGGTGCCTAAAAGTTACATCATTTTCTTTTTAATTGCTTCAACAATATATTGTGAAGAATGTAATGTAAGAAAATATATGCAGTCTGCACACAATCTTGCTCTTAAAAGATTCAAAGCATCTCAGAGAAAGAAGCTTAGACCTCTCTAGCCAATACTATGGTTAAGCCAGGTAAATTCAGCTGGCCAAATTCATTCCAGTCTCTTTATTCACACAATATAGTTTGTACTATAATATCTGAATGAATATGCAAATTAACATTACTGTACTTGATTCTGCAAATCCTTACACCTATAAATAGTCCCACTGCAGTTCAATGGGACTAGTCACAAGTGTAAAGTTACTCACCTGCTGGATTAGGGCCTATGTTAAGCATGTTAGAACAGCAGTTCTCAACCGGGGGCCGCAAATAGGTTTCAGGGGGTCCGCCAAGCAGGGCCAGTGTCAGATTCGCTGGGGCCTAGGGGAGAAAGCCGAAGCCATGTCATGCAGGGTTGAAGCCCAGGGTCCTGAGCTCTTTCACCAGGGGCTGAAGCCGAAGCCTGAGCAACTTAGCTTCACAGAGCCCCCTGTGACATGGGACCTGGGCAATTGCCCTATTTACTACTCCCTAATGTCGGCTCTGGATTTTATATGCAGAAAAAGAATTGTTGTGGCACAGCTGGGCTGTGGAGTTTTTATAACAGGGGGGGCTTAAGAGAAAGGTTGAGAACCCCTGTGTTAGAATACTATTATGTACCTTCTAAAATACTTTTATTTGATACTCCTCTAAATTCTGTATTACGTTGGGATCGTAGCAGTATAAATTAGTACCACCAGGAAAAAGTTCTGCTGGTCCTGTCCTACATGAGGGCTGATTCCGCATACACTTAAATAAGTGCATAACTTCATACAAGTGAGTCCCTTGGTGTCCCTAGCCTCTGTTTGCCAGAAGCTGGGAATGGGCGACAGGGGATGGATCACTTGATGATTACCTGTTCTGTTCATTCCCTCTGGGGCACCTGGCATTGACCAGTTGGAAGGTAGGATACTGGGCTAGATGGACCTTTGCTCCAACCCAGTATGGCCGTTCTTATGAGTAACAAAGTTAAGCATGTTGCAAAAGTGTTAGCAAGGTTGGGACCTGAGTGAGCCTTACTATGGACTGAGTGCAACATGGAGCTACTATCTATTTTTTATTATATTTTTAAGGTATTGGCTAGTGTAGTATGACAAAAGATTTGTTATAAAGCAGTCTTTGCATGTGCTGAGGTACACAGAAAGACGAGGTTTTGTGTAACGGGGGTTGTCTGATCCTGCAAAAAACTATGAACGTAACTTTCCTCAGATGAATAGTTCCACCTGTGTAAGCGTTTGAAAGACCAGAGCCAGCGACAAGAGCTGTGATTACAATCACAGACCAGGATGACAATCTTTCCACTTTCTGACAATATCAAATGGTGTACTGACTACGGACAAGGTTTCAGACACGGAAGAGGACAGTCAGACTCCATCACCTAAAAGTAGAGATAGAGTGGAAAAATTACAATTTTAAAGCAATATTAGTGTTTGTACAAACTTCTGTTTTTACTGTCTAGATTTACAGAACCCCTCATTTTAACCATCCAAATCAATCAATAATCCATCAGATTCTTCCTCTCCCCCGGGGTGTGTAACCCCTCATTCAGCTTGTTTTGTTTTGTTTTGCTGGTAGGATGGGAAAGTTGATCCCGTTTCTTAATGGGCAGGAAACTTTGAAGGGTGCAATACTGCCGTTGCCTCTTGCCTCGTGTTGTGGCTGCAGCAAGGAGCAGCAGCAGAAGAGGTGCTCTGGATTGGTGTCCCAGAGCCTCAGGGTCAGAGACCAGAGTCAGGAAGGGAGAGGGGGAGGGATCAGGGAGTGATGATGTCAGCCTGGAATGAGGGGGAGGGAGGGCGAGAGCGAGTGTTCCGGGTCAGGAAGAGGAATGAAAGGAGGGAGAGAAGAGCAGAGCGCCCAGGGACCCGTGCTAACGAGATACAAGTGATTGGAGAGCAGGGGCCCCACAGGAGACCATAAGAAGGACTTCCCCCGCTGCTCCTGCTCATTGGGCTTTCTGGGACTGGTCTAGGGGGAAGAGTTTCCTCCTTCTCCAGCAGCGTGTTGGATGCGGGTTCCTGTTGCTGCCTCTGCTGGGACTCGCAGTGGGAAGAGGAGGAGCAGGAGGGAGGAGGCTTTGGAACCCGTAGCGGGTTGCTGGCGGCTGGGGCCGCTTTGGAACCCGGCGGGGGTTGCCAGGCGGGAGGGGGGCGGGCGCTTTGGAACCCGGCTCCGGCGGGGGTTGCTAGGGGGGCTCGCAGCCCGGCGCGGGCTGGTCGGGGAGGAGCGTCGGACCCGGCCGGGCTGCTGGGTGCGCTCCCAGGCTCGCTCTTGGCGCGGCCGGCAGTAGCCGGGGAAGGCGGCGGCAGGGAGAGGCGCTGCTGCTGCCAGCCCTGCAGCGGCCGGACCCCTCGTGGGCGGCGCTGGCTGCTGCTATGTTTCATTGCATCCCCCTGTGGCGGTGCAACCGTCATGTGGAGTCCATCGATAAGCGGCACTGCTCGCTGCTGTCGGTGCCCGAGGAGATCTACCGCTACAGCCGCAGCCTGGAGGAGCTCCTTCTGGACGCCAACCAGCTCCGCGAGCTGCCCAAGGTGAGCGCGGGGGCTTGGGGAAGCAAGGCAAGGTCCTGGGATTAAATTGCCCAGCCGGGCTCATTTGCCTGGGCTGGGGCTCCTCCCCCCTCCTCCGCTATTGTTACAGCCTGCTCCAGTGTAGGGTTACAGGTGCCGGCTTTGTGGCGTGGTCGTAGCCGCCTCCCGGTGAGGGGCTGCGCCAGGTGAGCAGCCCCGGCAGGAGCCCGTGGCCCGGATTACCTCCCTCGGCGCCTGCTGAGGCTGAGCGGGGAGAAGTGCTCGTGCTTTGGCCGCTCTCTATGAGCTGTCACAAGCCAGGCTCCCGAGAGGTGTTTGGAAAAGGGGCGTATGGGGGGCGACAGCTCAAGGAAGGCCAGTCCTCTTCTCTCTCTCCCTCCCCCCCCCCCCGACTGTGCCCAGACCAGCTCCTCCGAAAACCTGCAGCTCCATCCATTCGAGAGCCAGCTGCCTGCTAAAACAGGCAAGCCGTAAGGCAGAAGGGAATGTACTGGACTCCACCTTGAATCCAAATCCACTCGCTCAGCTGGTGTTTCAAGTACAGCGTGTCCCCCCAAGGCTTGCAGCTAGGGTGACTAGATGTCCCGATTTTATAGGGACAGTCCCGATTTGGGGGTCTTTTTCTTATATTGGCTCCTATTACCCCCAATTTTTCACACTTGCTGTCCGGTCACCCTACTTGTAGCGTCGTGCGAGGCACGCGGCTCAGTGGTGGTGGTGGGTGAGTTTCCCTCCTCACATTAGAGGGATCCATCTGAAACAGCGCAGCTCCTCCCCTACCAGTCCCCCAAGGAGAACCGCTGGGGGGAAGAAGGTAGCTACTTCTGCCTTAGTTTAGCTGTAGCTCACGAAAGCTCATGCTCAAATAAATTGGTTAGTCTCTAAAGTGCCACAAGTCCTCCTTTTCTTTTTGGGAATACAGACTAACACGGCTGTTACTCTGACACCCTCCTAGAGTTATTTGCTGAGGCTGTTAGTACTAATGACCCAATACACGTGTTTAACCTCTGGTGTGACTTGGTGCAGTTCACCAATTAAACAAGAATAAACTTGTGGTAGCAATGTTTGCCTAGGGAGGGTGTCATCTAAAAAAACAAACAACTCCCTTCCCCCTCCATAAAAATAAAAACCCAATAGATCATAAGATCTGGGCAACTTTCTTTGGTTTGGAAGAGGAAAGCTTGTCAGAATTAATATAGTCCTAAATCAATGGTACTGCCTACAATCAACTATTATCTGTCTAATTAAAGGGACACAATAAAGTTTTTTATTTTTTTTAAAGTTAATTACTATTCCTAATAGCACTGTAGATAATTGCAAGTGGAGGGGAAATTAAAAAATGTATTAGTTTACACCACCAGTGTTTGTTTACTTCTGGTACTTTTCTCAGGTCTGCAGTATAAAAAAATAAACCAATCAGTTTGGCTCTCTGGCTTTCATTCACATTCTGTCACAAATGTCTAAAGGGGCACTCCATTTCAGATCTTGTTAGTGTCAGAACATGCGTTAAAAGTGATTTTCAGATACTACATGCTAATATTGTGGGTTTAAATAACACTCTGCTGTATCTGAAAAGAAGTGACCAGTCCAAATAAACAAAAGGAATAACTTGACTATACATGAAGTACTGTAGAGTGTACAGTACAAAGTAAACAAACTGGATTTTACAGCTGTGATGAGGTTAGGTGTTACATGTAAAACACTCTTAAGTGAGTTGTCACTGTCCATTTACGTTTAAGCCAACTATCTTCATTTAAGCTTTTTAAACCAATAGTAATATTTTTATTGATGTTGGTTCTAAATTCTGGGTCTAGGATTGCTTGATAATGCCCATTTAATGTATTATAATGCAACTGGATTATCAAACTATATACTGATTTTGGTAATACTAGTAGCAGAGGAAAACCATAATGTGGCATTAGTTTTCAGTGTTTCACCGTGGCTCATAGTGGTGTAAGTGGCCTTTCAGAAACAATATTTCAAAATCCTAGTGGTATGGAAGTAGTACGGTACTTGCTATGGGAGAACTGGGGAGATGAAAGGCCTAAAGCTTGCTGGTGTGAATGCCCGTGACAACATCTATTCACATCTATCTTTGTGCTGCTGAGTTATAAGTACACTTTGTATCTAGCCAGGTTTTTTTAATATACTAATCTGTTGGGCTGACAAATTCTCTTTTTTTTCCCTATGATGTTGACGATCTTTCCTTTCTTGTATTCTGCTTCTGGAAACTGAAAATGTTTGATTCTTATTTTGTTGTACTGTAGATTTGCTCTTCAAGTTGATATGAACTCTGCGAGGTCATCAGTGTTGTGCTTCATTTACAGAAAGAAAAGGAGTACTTGTGGCACCTTAGAGACTAACCAATTTATTTGAGCATGAGCTTTCGTGAGCTACAGCTCACTTCATCAGATACATTGATGAAGTGAGCTGTAGCTCACGAAAGCTCATGCTCAAATAAATTGGTTAGTCTCTAAGGTGCCACAAGTACTCCTTTTCTTTTTGCGAATACAGACTAACACGGCTGTTACTCTGAAACCTGTCATTTACAGAAAGCATTCACCAGAACTTTCTGTGTAGTACTTCATTGGCATAGTTTGTCGTGTTTGACAACATTTCCTGTACAACTTCTAACAAATTAAAACTTGCTACTAACCTATTGTGAAACAGTAGGTGTTGCTACCATGAATGGCATAGGAGCATTTGGTGATTCTGAAAAAGCTACAGTCCAGAGTAATTTTAATGAGTAACTGTAAAAAAACAAACAAACAAAAAAAAAAAACAAACAAAAAAAAAACTTTTTAAAAGGTTTTAGCATGGGAAGATGATTAGCCAGTTGGTAAATTGTGGGTGTGTTTAGTTGTTTGTGGGTGATGGTGTGCTATTTTTTTTTTTTTAAAGCGTTCTCAGGTGCAAACTTTGGACCCTAGTGAATTGCAGTGGTGAAAATCTAACGCTGGAAATGAAACATGCTTAACTGGAAACTGAATTTAATAGGCAGTTGAACTTCTGTTAACTCAGAATTCAGTTAAAACAGCCTATGTAACTGAACAGAAATGGATAAACCAGAAAGGAGGAACTTTCAGAGGTGTCCAGTATTGTTTTTCTGGGATCAGGGGAGTATAATTCATTCTCTGAAAGATAAATGTTGGTTTTTAAAACAAGTTTTCTTACAGGAGCTATGACTGTTTTTTGACTCTCTTTTTTAATAAGAGTAATTATGAAATGGTAAGGCGTGACTTTGCTTAGTGAAACTAGAAGTGTTTTTAACTGAAGGGAATGCTTTACTGGTCCAAGTATCATCTTTTGAAATAATTAGACTTCCTGGAACAACAGGTTTGAATCTGGGCATACCTGACTCAACTCTCCATCCTTATGAGGTAGATAAATCTAGTTTCACACAACTCTAGCTTGTGTGAGGCCTTTCAGGTATGTAGTGTAGTTGTAGCTGTGTCAATCCCAGGATATTAGAAAGACAAGGTGGGTGAGGTAATATCTTTTATTGGACCAACTTCTGATGGTGAGAGAGGCAAACTTTTGCAGTTAGAAGAGCTCTGTTTGGCACAAAAACTTGTCTCACTCACCAACAGAAGTTGGTCCAACAAAACATTACCTCACTCACCTTGCCTTTTGGATAGGACCTCTCTTAAAGCGTCATCTGCTCTGTGTGGACTGAACACCCTATGACTTTTTGTAAGAGTATGGCTATCTGACCAAAATTTTCTCTCCCTCTCAACTCCGTCCTTGTGCAGTATACTGTGCTCTTGTTGCTTACTGTAACTGCTGTCACTCTACCTCAGACAGGACCTTGTTTCAGAGATGCAGTGAGAGTGCATGAGGGGGTTATAGATCCTACTGAGACCTAAGGCTCTGAATAAATGTAAAATCGCTCGGGTGCTATAAATGATAGAGGCAGAATGATCCATGCACTTCTTGCAGTCATTACTTTTTGCTGAACAGTGTTGTTGATGTCTGTCAGGTGATTCATACAATAATTTTTCTGTCTGTTCCCTATGCGATCTTCTGCATTCAGCCTGCTTAATGATGGCATATAAATCCTTCTCTACTCAGTGTATTGGGAGTCCCCCAGGTATAGAAAATAGCTGATGGATAAGGACAAGTGTGCTGGGGTTGCAGTATAGCAAGAATCAGAGTTAAACAATAAATCTTGGTAGGTAAAAAGATGTATTTGAGAACAGATGCAGTCTTGTCTGAAGTTTGTGCATGGGCTTTTAGAGGTACTGTATTTGTGTCCAATGCATACAGTTTATGGAAACTGTCTGTCATGATATCTATCCTTATGCTGCCTGGCTTATCAGAAGCACATAAACACATTTACTCGTCTGCCTTTCGTAGTGTTCTATGGACTTTTCTTCTCCATTGTTCTACTGTGTGTCCATTAACAACTTCTGATAAATGGGCTCAGCTAGGGGTAGTGTCTGAATAGATATAAGAAATAATAACAACAAAGTGTGTGTTATAGTGGTCTTCTAATCTTTTGAGATCAGAGACCACATCTCTAAAAACATTTTCTGTAATGGAAATTTTAAAGTTGTGCTGTTTGGAATAAAACTGCCTTGGCAGGGTAATGTAAGAACTTAAGAATATCTTTTTTTTTAAATGTGGAACTTTACATCGCACACAAGATGCTGTAGTCATCACTTTATATTAAGAGAAGAGTGAGGCACAAATTTTGCAAAGAATTGGTAAAGGGGCATGTTGTGACCCTCTCTTAGGCAGAAGATGCCATTGAAATTGTCGGTGAGTTCTGTTTATGAACTGATGGGACAATATGGACCTAAATAGTCACCAGTCTTATTTTTTATATTGTGCCCTAAACACACTACAATATTTTTATAAACAAATTCTCATTTTAACACACAAAGCAAACAACTCTTAAACAAAGCTCCCAAAGACCTCCTGAATTCAGCAAAACCCTCCTTAGTCCACAGTTAGAAACTCCTCTTGCTCAGTTCTTGCGTTCACCACACCTGCCCAGG